CCATACCTCAAAGGAGTACACATAAATGCACACATGTAAACATATGTAAATGCATGCTTTTTGTAGAAAGTACCAGAGGAGCACAAAGTATTAAGAAATTTGGTTGACTATGTGTTGTATGGAGTGATTAAAATGATAGGTCAGTGTGAGAAGGATTTTCTCTGAAAGTTTCCTTTGATTTTTAACCATCTCATCATGCCACCTAAAGGCATGTCATCATGTTTCCATGACAAGGAAAAGATCTTTAAACCACAGTCTGATTAAGAGCCTCAAACTCCTAGGCAGATAAGCCAGTGCCTATTTTACCAGAACACACGTTGCCATTAAGTGCAACCTTTTCTGCAAACCATCCAGAAGAATATGGCATTCAACAGTGAGGTGAATGGAAAAAGCAAACTACTGCTGATGCAAGAAAGCCCACTGTGTGTGTGCGTGTGGCCGCACAGGCATGGCCATCCCTGCATAAAGCTGCCTGTCATCACCTGGACCTCCCAGTGGAAATTCCTCAGTAGGTGCGTTCCATCAGGATCCCCATTGTCCTTCTGGCCTTCCAGCTTACTACTGTACTTTTATCAGCAGAAGTAGACAACTCAATCTTCCTTTGAGATTCTCTGCTCTGCCCCTTGCTTTCCTATTTTGACACATTTCTTTTCTGTCCTTGGACTATATTTCTCTGAAAACTACTGAAAAAACTTCTGCAAATACATTCCTGAATTATCTGACAAGACATAATCAAATGATGTATAACTGTCACAGAATTTGTCTAGTTTATGGCCTGGGAAATAACAGTAATAAGAAATTGTTGGATGGGTTTCTGAATTCTGATAGAGTATTCTTTATGTCTTTTGGGGGTAATTAATATATTATACTAGATTATAAAATTTAGAAAACTTTAAGGAATTTTCATCCACAGTTATTGAAGTATGTTTTATTTTCATTGAAACTTTTTTTATTTGGACCCACCTTTAAGTAATACTATTTCTTTCTGATAATAGCAGCCTTTGAAGAAGTTGGGAAGCAATACTTTCAAATGTGAACATTTGTGGCTCTATAATTGAGTCCTGTGGCTTTGCCCATAAGAAGTATGGTGACCCTCTGGGAAAGCTTCTTACTTCCTAATACAGGAGAACCGTCTTTTCAGTGAAAGTACATGCCCTACAAGTATGGGATTCTTTAGACAAAACTGAGCTTGGGTCTAAATAAATTACAGAGTTACTAAAGTTAGCCTAAATCAATACAGCCATTCCTAATGGATGCAGTCGGACACAAATCTGAAGCTTTTCTGTGGTGATGGGAAAAGACATTGTTTTGTCACTCAGTTTGTAGAAAGGTTAAGAGAGAAACATGAAGCTTCTTGTTAATTCAGTGGGTTCTTCTGCTCAACTGTTTATAGAACTGTTAGAAAGAAAGAAAGAAAGAAAGAAAGAAAGAAAGAAAGAAAGAAAGAAAGAAAGAAAGAAAGAAAGAAAGAAAGACTGAATCCTAATGGCCCCCAGGGAGCGCCTAGATTCAGCCACTCCTGAATGCTTCAGACCAATCATGAATCAAGGACCACAGTTCCTGCCACTGCTAGTTTTTATCATTTCAAACAAAGGGATATTGTCTACTATAAGTTAACATTAATGAAAATTAAAAATCCATTTCTGGGGCTGGAGAAATGGCTCAGCAGTTAAGAACACTGACTGTTCTTACAGAAGACCTGGGTTCAAATCCCAGCACCCACATTGCAGCTAACAACTGTCTGTAACTCCAGTTCCAGGGGATGCAACAGCCTCTTCTGACCTCCGTGGGCATTGCACAACACAGATGCACTTACATACATTCAGGCAATACATGCATATACATAAAATGTGGTTATTAAATAAATAATTTTTAAAAAAAGAACACTGGCTGCTCTTGCAGAAGACCCAGGTTCAAATCCCAGCACCCACATGGCAGCTAACAACTGTCTGTAACTCCAGTACTAGAGGATCCGACAGCTTCTTTTGTCCTCACAGGCATTGCATGACATGGGTGCACTTACCTACATGCAGGCAATACACACATATATATAAAAATAATTTAAAAATTAAAAAATAAATGAATAAAAATAAAATAGTTTTTAAAATCTATTTCCATCTTTAGTTATATAACATTTGTTTTACATTATAAAAATAAGCTTCTGGTATCCAAATAGTTAAATTCAAAGTGTCAAAGACCTTTTTAAATTGTTTGTCTGGATAGGGGAGATGGTTCAGTGGGTAGAGTGCTTGCTGCACAAGCATGAGAACCTCAGTTCATATCCCCAGCACCCACATAAAACCTGGGTACAGCAGCCTGCACCTGTAATGCCAGTACTGGAAAAGCAGAGACTGGAGAATTGCCAGCCGTGAGCACCATGTTCACTGCTTCAAAGAAGATTATGGAAAATGATGAGGAAAGACACAAGACGTTGACCTATGGCCTCCACACACAAAGACACGTGTATTTGCACTGTCACATGTGTGCACACACACACACACATACACCACACACATGCACTCCCATAAAATTACATCTTTAGAGTGACTGATTATGCTAAATATTTTCTTTGTGAATGGGAAGACCAAAATTTTCTGAAAATGTGCTGCAATGATTTTGTACACCCACTATGAGAGGAGGAATATTTTATAGAAGTAAATATATTTCTGAGATAGATCGCTTTTCAGACACTCTCAGAGTCTGTCTTTAAATACTAGATGGGACCGAAGGCAACAAGACCACGATCCCAGATTATCTATCTCTCCACAACCATTTGCCATGTGTTTTTCTTTAGGTGAAACTGGAATCTTCAACCACCAATTGATCATCTGGATCCAGTTTTTTGAGCAAGCATATTAAAGCTCCACTATGAGGAGGAAGGAAGGGCCTGGCAACAACATCAAAACTGTGTAGCCACCACCTCAGTGTGAGGCTGTTTGCCCTAGAGTCCCTATGTTCTGCTCTATGGGATGAATAAACAGGGACTTTATGGAGACAGTGTGGGTACCCTGGAGCAGAGAGTTAAAAACAAGTAAAAGGGAGAAGAATATGGAAAGATTTTTCTCCTTTTTGAATTTCGCTGAAAGCTGGCCCCAAGCATGACATTCTTTGAACAGGTCTTCTTTGAAAGGACTTTGCAAATGAGATTCATTGTATCATTCTGTTTCACTAAAACTTGTTACTTATTTACTTATTTAGCATGCATAAAGGCAGAGTGATCAAGAATCACTAATTTGCAATCAAGTCCCTGAGGAATTACTACCAATTTTCCAGAGATTATGCACCACTCCTTTTTTGTCATCTGTTTACCTATCTCTACTTGTCACTTTTTTCTAAATCCACCTGAGCTCTGTTTTAATTTGCACTTAATCCTCTACCTACTCCATAAAATATTTAACAATACCTGTAAAAACCACTAATTTTTACCAAGAATTTGGCTTTTAACGTGTTAAACACTAAAATGTCTGTAGTTTTTTCCTTGCTCCAGATGTTCATCTGAGTATTTATTCTTGTTAATGTGTAACCTTTATTCACATGATTCTTTTTTAAACTACAGTGAAGTTAGTAGTAACATATCAACCCAAATTATCTGAATGATGCAGCATCTCTGATGTACAGACTCAGCAGCACAATTCTGAACACAGATTTAAACAGTGCTTTCCATTGTAAGGAAATGCAACAAATTGAAACTCTAATCAGACTATCAAAGCAAATATATTACCACAACCTTCTTACACGCTAACAATAAAAAGCATTGGACACTAGGTCCTAATCTCTACTTTTTCCGTAATCATTTTAATAGTCAGCAACAGTGTAGACAATTGAAGAGATTTTAAAATGGACTATTCCAGTGTGCCTTATAATTTCCTACTAAATTGATCATGTCAAAAACATTTATAAGTGCCTTTCAAGAGAAGACAATAAAGGAAAAGATAATTTTTGCCACTTATCAAACCTGTAACCATTTTTAATAACACAAAAGAATCTGTGTTGTGGGGTATCACTATCTCATCCAATAGCGCACTAAAATATCAAGAGCTGGGGATTATATCTCAGGTTTTTATTAATATTCTTTCAAATAGCAACAGTCAGGTTTTTTTATGTATTTTTTTCTCTGAGATTAGTGATTTTTTTTAATGATTTCTGCATATGCTAGATCACACAAAGACATAAGCAAAAAGTCAGCATAAAGAAAAGTTCTTGCTAGTTTATGATTAACAAATCCTTTTCATTTCTAAGGTTTATTATTTTAGAATATTTCAAAATATAATTATATAATTGCCTTAAACAACATAGTATGTCTGTAATTAGGGCCTCTTCCCAGAAGGAACCTTTAGTGAAATCAGCTGAAACCTTTGTTTTAAGCACAAAGACCTGTTTATGATTTAGAAAATTACCCTTACTTTATCCTACCTAGGAGATAAAATTTAGGAAAAAATATTCAATTGTCATGACAAATTATCCTTTATAATTTAAACTTCCTTGCTCTTTAGTAGCTATCTAATGAGGTGACTGGAGAACCTTTAGAAGAGTTTCCAGTACCTTTCAGATAATACCTTAATTGGACATCTTTCACAATGAAATTCAAAACAATACATCTTATTGTTATGAGTGCCCATTTTGTCTCAACTGAATCTTGAATAATGCATATTTTATAGAACTGTCAGTTAAAGGTGTATAGTCTCATGTTTTTACTCATAGTTACTTTTGAAAGAACTTTCTAACTAAAACTATATCTTATTTTGTCTTCACCATTTTAATCTAAAATCTTAGCCATAGATACTAGTATAATATTCTAAAAAGGACTTTGAATTTGTCTGCTGTGATTATGGAAAAAAAAATTACACTTTCTATGCCAAAAGAAACAAGTTGATGTTTAATCACAGGTAAAAGCAACACATTTTGCAGAAATGTTTATACATTCACACCAGCGTCTAGAACTTCTGCAAACACTTTCAAGTTCAAATTTCATGTACAATATAAAGTCAAAATTTACATACCTTCTCTCAGTGACGACTTGCTATTGAAACTGCCATCAACTCCTAACCGTTAATGACTCTTTCAACAAAAACGGAAAAGAGCAAAGTCACATGTCCTAAGATGAGGCCAGTGTTAGCTGCTGCTTAATTTCAGTACTGGAGGGTGAGAGGAAGGCGGGGGCCAGGGGTGAGCATAAAACTTTAAAAAACCCACTTCCTGGGTAGATACAGTTAACCACACACATCATAGTATTATTTGACTTAGGAATTAGCCATGCATAGTCAATCAACAATATGATTATTTATCCATATTAATGTAAATTTTCAAGTATTGAATATGTGTATGGGTTGCATCAGTTTTGATACCTAAAGGGGAAACTGTGATTAAATGTTTTAGGCAGGGGAGGGACTGATTGTTAAGCATAGAGGAAACTTCCCTTTTCTCTGCCTTCTAGTAAGGACTTAAACACATAAAGCCAGTCTTTCTTTACTGGTTTGTGTTCAGTATGCTCTTGCTGTCCAGAGGCTCTGCATATTCACTGGGAAGTCATGAAGCCACTTCTGACGCACAAAGAAGGTGCCTGTTGACTCATGGCTGGTCCTACAAGGACTTCCTAAGGCTAAGGATTTCCCAGAGCTCTGGTGTGGTGGCATCAGATCTTTAGAGGGCACAGCAGCTGAGAGTCTACAGCCATCTCAGGAAGAGGGAGGAGTTCAGGGCACCTGAGCATTCTGTGTGATGGTGGGTGGTTTCACCATCCTGTGTTCTCACTTGCAGTTTCCTAAGTTGGTCTAAAATATGCTGAAGAGCTCTCTAAGTCACAACAAGGAGTCGCTGAGTTTTAAATCTTTGATTTAGCTCAACAATTCCTTGTTGTGACTTAAAGAGAAAGACAAAATAACAGACCCAAAGGACATCCTTTGGGCAAGCTCCTGTACTTCAATCTATTGAAGACATATTAATAGATCTCAACATTAACTCTAGTATATGTATATTTATTGAGATGGAATTAAAAATATAAAATATAAGGTCCCCGATTTCCAGACTTGACTGGTTCTGTAAAATTGGTAGGATGTTTATAAAGTTCCTTCCAAACTTGTGAGAAAGATAATCACAATCTCTTATCATTCAACCTCATTGGACGAGACCTTTAGGTAGCAGAGTTGTATGGCATGTGTGACAAAAAGACAAGCTTTCGTCATATGCTTGATGTCTAACAAAGACTTTCAATTCATTGTGAGATATCCTTCCTGAATGTTCTTGACATCAAGGAGAAAGGAGCATGATGATAAAAATGAGGATAGCTGAATTCAGGACCAATTTTGCCACTGTTGTTTAACCTTGCCCAAGTCACTAATGTACCCTGAATTTCAGTTTAGCTATCGATATAATAGTATATAAAAATTTTTTTTAATTTCTATTTCAGAGAACATAGCAAGGAGATTTAACTATTCTGTGCATCATAAAGAACTGTAGACATCTGTAGCACGAGTTTGAAGTGCTGACTCCTGCCAAGAAGCATCCCAGAAACTCAGTATGACTCATTTGAAGCCTGGATAAATTCTGGTTGGACTCAGAAATCTAAGATGAGGAATATGAATTAGGCCTTTCTTGGAAAACAAGCTCTAATATAAGATGCTAATTGGAGGCAAAAGCACATTTTCTTTATGCTGGGTGGGAGTCAGCCAGGGGCAGTGCTTTGCCACGGTTTGGTCTCTGTAATGAGCAGCGCTTACAATGATTAAGGCTCTAGGTCATGAATTGACACTCATGGCTAGGCAGGTCCACTCATTCTCAGAGGCAGTACTTACTGAGTGCTTACTCTGAGTCACACACTATGCCAATCAGTTTCTGTTTATTGTGCCATTGGTTCAAACCCTCACAATTGCTTTGTGAAATAGTCAATATTTTTATACTATTTTATATATAAGGAAGCTAAGGTTAATTTTTGATCCAAATTAGTAAAGATTGGAGTCAGGAGTCAAACTCCGAGGTCTGACCTCAGAGCTCTAACTTACTATGCCATTTCCTACCCAGTTTTTCCACAACACAATTCTGAATGAGTGATATTGAGGAAAAGTTTCACTTCTGTTTTTAGTGTATATTTTAAAATTAATTTTTGTGCATTTCATACAACCTAATCATATTTAGATGCCCTCCCCCAGCTGCACCCCCCCAGCTGCACCCCTCATGGTCCCCCACCAGATTTCATGCCTTCACTCATATATGTTATGGCCTATAGGGTCAAGCTTTTGTACCCAGATGTTCCTGGTATATTTTCACCCACTGGAGTCTACTCAGTTGTGGAGGCAAGGAAGATCAGTGGTTTGAGGCCAGAATCAATTACATATTGAGTTGGAGATCAGCTTGGGTTACATGAGACCCTGCCTCATGTAAAGAGTGATCTACATCAGTCTTTTAAAGATCTACTCTCCCTGACATGAGAGTGAGGAGCTGCCAATAGTTCCTCTGCTAAGGTTGGGTTGTACTGCCCACTTCCCCAGTTCTATACTGGGTTTTTGTCTGATAAGTCTGCATAGGTGTTTCTTTTCGCCTTTCTACTGAAGAGTGCTAGACTTTGTAGTCAGGAATCCTTTCTAGGGTCATACTAGAATTAATTCCTCAGAATGATCTCTAAAAAATTCCTTTTGCTTTTCACAGTATTAATGTAATTTAACTTAATGTATATGCATGTATGTAAGTGCATCTGTGTTGTGTAATGCCAGTGGAGGCCAGTGTAATGCCAGAAGAGAGGGTCAGATCCCCTAGAACTAGAGTTATGGACAGGTGTTGGCTGCCCTATGGGTGCTGAGAACCAAACCTGGTTCCTCTGCAAGACAGACAATGCTCTTAACCATTGAGTCATCTGGCCAGTAACTCCCCCTTAAAAATTTTTTTGACACAGGACTTCTCTATAGCCTCAACTTGCCTGAAAAATCACTATGTAGACTAGGCTGGCCTCCTTCTCACAGAGATCAGCCTGTTTCTGTCTCCCAAGTGCTGAGATTAAAGACATGTACCACTAGACCAGGCATGTTCTCTAAAATTTGAATGCATATCAATGAAATGAAATGAACCTAGTCATAAACAGAAATATACTATGTTCAAAGGCACAAAACAGTAGACATGCATCAACCTGTCCAGGTTAGTCTGCAAATAGATTCAATATAATCTTTAGTTATAATTGTAACAGGAAGTTTTAAAGAACCCTACAAGCTTCTCCCAGAATATCTGTTAAAGTATGAATATCTAACAATATTTGAGTTCATTTTGAAATAAAAAAGGCAAAGACTACTGATTGGCTCTGCTAGACATTGAGATACTCCAAAATTATAGCATTTAATAGTACATTTAACATGGGCAGAGTGATGTATACCTGTAATCACTGCAAGTATGTTGTGGAGGCAAGGAAGATCAGTGGTTTGAGGCCAGTATCAATTACATATTGAGTTGGAGATCAGCTTGGGTTACATGATACCCTGCCTCAAAAAACAGTAAATAGAGAGATGGTTCAGTGGTTAAGAGCAATGGCTGCTATTGTGGAGAACCTGGGTTTGATGCCTAGCCATCATATGATGGCTAACAACTGTTTGTAACTCCAGTTCCAGGGGATCTGATACCTTCTTTTGACCTCCATGGTGGTGTACAATGTGGCTGCACTTACACACATGCAAGCAAAACACTCATACACATAAAATAAAAATAGTAAATAAAATGTTTTAAAAATCAGCAAATGAAATAATGTTTTGATACCCTAAAACAATGCGTTAAAATAGTATAATTGTTTGAAGTCTTGATACATGATGAAACATTGTAAGGTAAATAAAAAGCTATAATTTGTTTTACTAGATAGTGTTGACAAAACAGACACACTAAGTAGATGAAAATAGACTTGGACCCTAAATTAGACCTCATGGAGTGATAGATACCCAATGAGTTAAAATTTGTACTTAGGGAAAAAATATCATGATGCTGATACAATTAAATGAATAAATCTGTTTTACAAATGGAACTTTATTAAGTATTATCTTCCCATTATCACAAAAAAGAGTAAATATATGTAGTAAATATATATATATATATAATGTATATATATGACTACAAAATATTTTTCCCATTTTTATTACAAACATAACAGTATAGACAAGATTATAAAAAAATAAGACCCTAGAAGAAAGTGCATGTATTTATAAAAGACTTATATAAACCAATAGAAAAATAATGGGCAAGCTAAATGGGAAAAAAGCAATGGCATTAGATGAAACACTCATGAAAATGGATGGTCTAATACGTAAGTAGTGCATGAGAAGATTCACAGAGTCTATAGCAGTCATAGAAAAAACAGGTCTGCTTCCACTGAAATGGTAAGAGTCTGGGTGTGAATACAAGGCAAAGGAAACGCTCTCCTTCATTACGGACGGAATTGCAAACAAGTCCTTCTAACAAGCAATCCAGCAAAAATGATCAGAATAACACATGTGCAAGCATTATGTTCTAGCAGCCCTACTCTGGTGTCCATAAATTGTCTAGAAAATCCTGGCCACAGGGTATTTTCAGTCCTTCAGTACAACAAGGTAATAGGTCTTGGTCTTGGCTTCTGTGCCTCAAGTAATATTTATGTTAGGGAGAAAAACAGAAGTTTCTGGGCCCTCCACTCAGAAATGAGCTGAATGCTACCAGGGCACAGGGAATGGAAGACCATCCTAGCTTAGGCTGAGGAGCAGTAAAAGTTACAATGTGAAAGAGGAGAAGGGGTGTTCTTCCCTAGAGGAGAGGACTTAGCACAGGCTAGAGAGTATAGCTTTGTATTTGGCTCTAGGCTTATTCAATGCCACAGATGAAAAGTTTTTGTCTCCCCAGACTTCCTAGGCTCAGATTCCAACCACTAGAGTGATGGTATTAGAAGTTGGGTTTGGGGTTATGGTTTGGAAAAATTGTCTTATAGAGGAACTGTCCTAGTTTGTTCTTCATTGCTGTGACAAAATACTCTGACAACTACCAACTTGGGGAGGAAAGGGTTTATTTGTCTTACATCTCCCAAGTCGCAGTTCATCAGGGAGCCCAAGGTAGGAACTCAGGGCAGGAACCTGGAGGCAGGAGCTGGGGCACAGGCCA